TCAATATTAATTTAAAAAATACTATTAATGATCGAAAATTGCATTTGCCTATAAATAGTTCAACTTAAGTCTAAAATTTTTTGAAAATTGCATGGTGGAATATATACTTCTATAAACATTCGGTAAAAATTTCATGTATTTATGGTCATTTGTTTTAAAGTTACATCAAAAACCAAAATCGATTTTTACGAAAACTGATTGTGCGTAAAATTTCCCGTTTTTTCCTTAATTTTTAGTTTGTTTATCCCGATTATTTAGAAAAATATTGAGAATATTTTGACCCCCCAAAGTACYAACTAGATTCACTTTCTTATCTAACAAGGCACTGAAGTCTAAAATCGAAGCATTTTTACTGCCTCAAAACGTGATGACAGACAAAAAAAATAAAACACTCATCATGGTAAAGTCAATACATTCCTCGCTCCGTTCAGAATCTAAAATGCAGGAAACCAATTCTCCAATGGCAGTATGATATTTTAGTCGCACTGTAGAATGTAGATACTTATCGCATCGCTTGTTAGATCAGTACAAACRAAAAAATCTCATTCTTTGCGTAATTTATAGAAAAATATCTTTAGCGTACATCGTGAACAGTGTTACCTTATCAAACACGATTACCTTATTACGAAAAATATCTCATTTATATTGTAACTGTGTAAACTGATTATTTGAATTCTTGTCAGTTCCTAATTCTCTCCTATCCCTTCTCTAATCGAATAATAATATTTCAAAATTTTGTATTTGACATATTATTCTCTCAATGYCGTCTGTTAACTGTCGATTACGAAAAAACGGCTGCAATAAGTCTATGACAGTTATCAGTCATTATGATATCCGTTTTACGGATACTCAAAGGTGCCTACCGGATTTTTAGACTTGCGCAATACGTCCTCCATACCACGAACAGCCGGAACGAGTGCATCCAACATGGTCCTGTCGCCGGGGCGACTCATGCCGTATGCCTCGATGGCCGCCACACCTCGGCGCAGACCGTCTACCCACATGGCTGGTCCGAGRGTCGCACGGAAAGAGTGTTTGGTAAATGCTAGTGAAAATGACCGGAATAAGACTGACAAGAGCGTGCCCAAAGTGCCAGCCACGCGAGTYTCAAGCAGCTTGGCGATCGAGCGCAGTGTGTCTGCGGGACTGGCTACGTTTACGTGACCYGCAGTCACGGCCTCCCTCACCGCATCGGCACCACGGCGCCAGTTGCTGCCGCAGTCACCGTCGTCAGTCTCGTCCATTATGTTCATCTGGTCTTCCGCTTCGATGATTCGATTGCACACGTGAACTATACACATCACAATAATAATACTAATATTTATCAAATGTTAAAAATAGACTTGATTGATCGTGACCTATATAACAGAAAATCCTGTTTGGGAGTTGAATATAGTATTTTATTAGAAATAGATCAGTTGAACTTTAATTTTTACGAATTTKAACCTCAATTATTTGAAATTAATGTAATTCTAACTTTTCAAACAATGTTATTTTATTTTTAATTCAAAAATTCCGATTGAACTAGTGAGATGTTCGAATCCAAACGACAGATTGAACTTTAAGCTTTTTTAACTTCTTCGAAGATCCTTAGAGTTCAGGAACCCAAGCCTAATTTTTATAATATCATAATAATATTATAGCATAATATTGCATACTCAAAACGTCAGTTACGAATGGCACTTGGTCTTCAGGCACGGTCGTGCTCGGAGGAATATCATCGTCATCATCGTCTTCGACGTGGTTGTTGTCGTCGCCGTTGCGGYCACGGTCGTTTCCTCCCGTCAGGAGATCACAAGAGCAGCGACGGTGGCGTCGGACATATTCGGTTGTGGGATGCTGAGCCAGGTCGAGGCGTCCGTCCAGGCTGACAAACGTCCAACCGGAAGCGGATACTGGAAGGTCCAGACAAGCTATCAATGAGTAGCGAAGGCCGTCGTACACACGACCGTCGGCAACGGCTGAACCTCGAGCCGCGGAGCCAATGTCCATCAAGGTCACGGAGAACCCCTCGTCTGTGTCGCTGGATGAAGGCAACATCCGGCCGGTATACCACCGGTGTATCGTGCGGGCGCCAGTGGCCACGCCGAGAAGACTGGTCACCTCTGCTACGATGGCCATGAACCGCGTGTCTGACAGGCCACCCATGTTGTTGATCATTGCCACAATATCGGAATCTCGCCAACGACGTATGATGTGTTGGTCATCATCTGTGAGTAGGTTTAGCGTGACAGATACCATCGCTGTGAGATCCGTTGTCTGCACAGTTCGAATCTCGTTCCTGCCGTTTACGTCTGTGCCCAGCAACAGCACGTTTTCTTCGCGCCTGCGCAGATCGTCAGACTTGTGAATTTTGACTGACTCTGACACTTGTGTGTTATAAACATCGTTATATATAGAAGYGGAAGTGAATTTTTAATCTGTGCTTAAGATATCTATGATTCTATCCTATAGCCTAGTCTCTTAGATATAGGTAATTTTAAATAGTATGCTTATAATTATTAACAGCAAGAATGATAATAATTATGGTGTGGTCTATGGATATATTTTTTTTACCTTAATCTTGTATGAATAAATAATTGGATTAGTATTATAATTTACAGTAGGTTAGTTATATTAACGACAATAACAAAAAAATGTAATTAAATAATCAGTAGATATACTACAAAATATAACAAAAAAAATTATTAACGCGCAATACAATTATAACGAAATATGAACTATATAAATTAWTGAATTAATAAATGGTTTAGGTACTGAAGATGCACTAGCACACCTTACAAATGAAATATATAATAATATAGACAAACGTAATAAAACTATCGGTATATTCCTAGACCTAAGCAAAGCCTTTAACCGCATATCTCATTCTATTTTGCAAAATAGACTACACTCTCTTGGCATTACTGGGACAGCTTTCAAAATTTTCGGAYCATACTTAAACCAAAGAACACAACAAACTAGAATAGGTAACACAGTAAGTGAAATAGATCAAATTCATAACGGAGTCCCCCAAGGTACAGTACTTTCCCCAATTCTATACATTATATACGTAGCTGAATTAAGTAATCTTTATATAAATGGAAAAATTTATTCATATRCAGATGACACGGCCATCATAGTCTCGGACTCTAACTGGGATACAGTTTGGCGAAAATGTGAAGCTGATATGTTTGTAATTTATGAATGGTTTTCGAATAATAGTTTAGAAATAAATTATGATAAATCAAAWTKTATAGCTTTTACCAATGACATTAAATCTACACCACTTAAAAACGAGATTATTATACACAAAACATTTAATTGCAACACCATAACATGCACCTGTCCAAAATTAATTAAAAACCCTTTCATTAAATACCTTGGCATAACAATAGATCAACACTTAAAATGGAATAATCATATAGAATACATAATAGTTAAACTAAGACAACTAACATACCTTTTCATTATAGCAAAAAAAATACTAAACAAACAGCTAATTAGAATAACATATTTTGCAATGGCTCAATCTCTAATTCAATACGGCATAATAGCTTGGGGTGGTTGCAATACCACTTTAAAATGTAATTTATCAATAAGTCAAAATAACCTAATTAAAATCATTCTAAATAAACCGAAAACCTTTTCTTCATCTGAATTATATAAAATGTTAAGAGTACTTATTTAATATTAAAAATCAAACATACAACTTCAGAAAAACAAATCTTGAAATACCTTTCGTTGTTACTAAAAAAGCTTCAATGTCATATTATGCTCAATTATAAATTTTCAATTTTAACTTGCTAGTTTATTTATTTCCAAACATAGGATCYGTTTTTCCAGAATTGTATAGCCTGGTTAATTTCTTCTTCTTCTTCGCTCTCACGTTCGCCTTCCTCTCAACTATTTGGGGTCGGCCACCTTTGTCCTAAACCTCAATTTTTCTCGATTTTCCACATTCCCTATACACATACCAACAGCCCTCATATCATTATCAATGGTATCGAACCATATTTTTTTCGGTTTTCCTCTTCTTTTTTTCCCTTCAACTACTCTTATTGCTTTTGTTTATTCTCATCTCATCATATGCTCATACCATCTCAATCTATTTTCACTCATCTTGTCTACTATCGACGCTATATAATTGTAATATATATAACACCATCGTAGACGTGTCCCATTAAATAATTTTGGTGGACTAAGATTTCTGAGAAGCATTATAGGACAACCAATTTTTAATATTAAGAAATGTAGTGGAAATCCAGGAGGGTTGAGTGAATTGAGAAATTCAAYTGGATAATTAATTACCTCATCTACTTCCAGTTCTGAATTCACTGATCTGTATTCCATATTTTCTGCTTTGAAGAGTTCAATAATATTTTGTTTATGTCTCCTGCTGTATTATTTTTTGATGTCAATATGGCTCTCTCACATAACCAGTTTATTGATTTATCTTTGATGTTTTCGATGCTTGGATATATTTTTTCTTGTGAGTTCCTTTATAGTTTTTACAACAGTACCTAATCTGGCAGAGTAATTTTTTCTTCTTATTCTGGATATTTTCCATCTCCTATTTTTAAGAGTAACTCTGAAAACTGCTCAGGAATCATGTTTCCTATGTACTTGCATATTTATGGTCAAAGAAGAAGTTATGCAATTTCATTAGCTTGAGTTCCTCTTGRTACAACTGGTAGAGTTTGTCGAAAATCTTAGCCAGCAGTACCGTGAYTCCTCCCATCAATAAATTCGAATTTTTCAGATCCTACAGACAGTTGTTTAAAACTTCATATCCTTTCTAATGAGACATTGGACTTTCATCCCAAACTATGAGCTTGCATTTTTTCAGAACTTTCGCCAAATTTGATTGTTTATTAATATTGCACGATGGAGTCTCGATGGTGTTCAAATCGAGTGGCAACTTGAAAGCAGGAATGAGCAGTTTTTCCTCCATGTGAAAACGTAGCAGCAATTCTTGATATGATGTAGCTGAAATTGCAATCCCATATGAGCTTCCTACTTTAGCCAAAAGTAGATTGATTAAATGGGTTTTACTGGTTCCAYCAGGAGCAACCAAAAATATACATTTTCCTAAATTTAATTTGATGCTATTGAATATTTGTTTGTAAACAAACAACTGTTCCTCAGTCAATGAGTGTTCATTTTGCACTGCTGAACACAACAAATATTAATTTTTCCTTTTCTAAATTTCTGATAATTCTCTAGACCTAAACACATAACTGTTGAAACAGCTACCGCATTGACTGCCTGGTTGGTATAACACACTTCAACATCCAGGCTTTCTCCACCAACGATTCCTCTCACATGTCATACCCGCGCATATCCGATGGGACAAAGTAATAAACCGCTTAAGTTTCGATAAGGACTTTTCATCTTGTTTSACAAAGTTTACATCAGCTGTCAACCTGACGCAACCTCATTCGATGCTTCTTTCACAGGAGAATAGCCTGATTAACTTAACTGATTAATTTTTTATGTTAACACTTTATTCTTAATGAATTATTTTTAAACATTTAAATATATGATTTCTTATATTAGTTATGTATTTATATGCTAGTGTTAAGCGTGACGACGCACTCAGTTTATCTGATTTTCCATTCTCTCTCATTGTCATAAGTAGATGTGTTTGGATTATAAGTGGTATTATTATCATTATTAATGTTGTATATCCATACTTTCTTTGATATTTGTATATTGAAATTAACTCGTGATTTAAGCTTCAGAGAACCACCAGAATTTAAGGTTCTTATTCTCAAATAGKACTTTTTATCTGACCCCATTAGATTCACTGACTGCGATTACACTCAATTACAGGACAAAATAACTGATACGATAAATATTGAGCTTTTTTGCATAACATGGGGTGATTCAATATCGACTGTTATTTGTGTGTTGTGGTAAATGTATTAATTCAAGTTATACTTAATTGAAATGAATTTTATTCTTCGTAATC